GTTGTTTATCATTGTATTTCTAAAGAACATTATTATAATGCAATTTCATGGCTTTTCTTTTCTTTTTCAATCATTAACTTCCTATTATGACAGATTAGGATTTAATACTTATACTTTTCCCCATTCCCATACATCTCTCCACTGAGATAATTTAAACATGTATCATTCACATTTTAAAAAATATATAAATATTATTCACAGTTCAAAACTGAGCCATAGTGTATTGATGACATTCTCTTGTTTATACACCTTTTTGTTTTTTCTAGCTTTAATAATCACTTTGCTTTATATTCATTTAATTTTCCTAGAAAAGGAGAATAAATTCATCACTAAATCTTCTTCTCCAAGAGCACTATTCTGGGTTGAAACACGGTGCCTGGTGTACCAGTTTCACTTTTTTCTTGAAGACACCCCCACTGGATCCCCTTTTACCCCTGTTACAATCTGGTCTGGTTGCTGTCCAGGCCAGCTGCCCACTGTCAACCTTGGATCCTTGAACTCCGTGAAGAGGTTCAAAAATGTTTCTGTTCCTGTCTTTCCTAGTATCGGTCATATTCTTGTCAACTCAGCACAAAATGATTTACCAGAAAGCTAAAGGAACTCAGAATCAATGGAGGCTAGGACAGTAGGGAACAAAGGGGCTCTGGAGGCTGAATGTAATCTGTCCAGGATGCCTTGACTGCTGTTGACACTCACTGTGAACATCCTGGCTTTACTTACTTGGAATTCAAAGTGCTGGGCAGAAGTATCTAATTCACCAAATTTGCCTGGATAGGTGAGGGAGAGCAGAGGGCACAAAGCAGTGTGGCAGAAGGGCTGAGAAAAGTTAGGCCACCTTTGGAAGGAGGAGACTTCCTGCCTTCCTGCTACCCAGGGAGTAAGCCAGCTGGAGAGGAATCCCCTGGTCTGCCTGATCACCTGAGAAAGGTGACACACTGGATCCATTGATAAGAAGCCCACCTTCCAGATTATCTGACACTTGTTAAGAATCTGTTTTGATCAAGATGGAGGTAGAGTTGGGTGCAAAGGTGAATAAGATCCATCTTCTCCCCAAGGAAGCTCATACCAGACATTTTAAAAAAATAACAAAAATAGCTAATTCTCATTGAACACTTTGCAAAGTGCTAGACACTGATCTTCCACACTTACTAATAACTAACCAAATGTTTTTTTAACAACCCAAAGAGACAAATGCTATAATTAGCTCCATTTGACTTCTGGGGAAAATGAGGCACAGAGAGCTCTAGTAGCCTGCCCTAGATCACATAGTAAGTCAGTTGCTTGCTAGGATCCACACTTAGGCAGTCTGTTGTCAGAGCTCCTGCATTTAGCYCTCACCCTATCCATCCTCTAAGCCAACTCCAGGACCATCTCCCATGACCAACACATGCAGCAGCTTAAATCCTGCCCTGACTCCTTGTCTGAAGGTTGTTAGGCTTTGTAAACTCACCGGACACCAAAGTATGCTCTAGGATATTGCCATTGTCATTTCCCTGTTCTGCCTTCCACAGTTACATCATTAACCTGAGTCCTCATGGTCTCATCCTACAGAAACTTCAAGCTCCTCTGACTCTCCTATTTCATAGTCTTTGGAGTGTCTTTCACAAGGCAAGTGCTCAGATGTTTTTGCTGTTTGGTGGGTTGGTGGAGGATGCTGTCATTTCCCCAGGTTTCTGTGACATGAACAAAGTGTTCTCAGTCTGTGCATTGGAATTACGGGGAATTAACAACTACGATGCCCAGACACCACCCCTACAGGTACTGATAAAACTGATCTAAGGTGTAGTCTGAACATGGCGTACTCCCTGCATTGACACTAATTTTAGAAATTTTGGAAATGTCAAGAGAGGGCAGTCAGTGGAGGGAGTAGGAAAAACTTGGGTTTTGGAGATGAGCAGGCAAGGTTCACATCACAGCTTAATAAGTTACAAGTTGGATGAGTTTGGTCAAATCAACTTCCCCACATCTCAGTTACCTCATCTGTAAAAGGGAAGAATAATATTCACCTTAAAGTAAAGCACTTGACATGAAATAAAGCACTGGGAAGAAGTATGTTAGAAGAAATGTAGTATGTTGCAGCTATTAAAATTAATTATGCATTTGCCTGTCCAATATTGATTCAGCATCTCCCAAGCACCAGGCACTTGGATGCTCTTGGGGGACAATAGAAAACATGACATTTGTGGTCTCTTTCCTTTTGGCATTAATATTCTTGCAATTCAATTTAACAAACTTTTATTGGGTTTGGGATATCAAGAACTCTGTGGCTTTAAAATGAATAAAACATTGTTTTGCTGTGAAGAAAAGAAAAGTAGACACTAATCATAACTAAAGGAGGAATGGCAAGAGAGGTGCAAACCAAGAGCGGTGGGGTTGAGAGGAGAGAGGCATTTAGAGGGCAGATCATGGAAATTTCCATGGAAAACAGGATACTGCAGAGGGCCCTCAAAGAATAGAGAGGATTTCGTGGGATGACGTTGGGAACTGCTTGAACAAAAGCATGGAGGTAGGAATAGTCAGTAATCCAACCTGGCAAAGGAGCTGGATGTGCACATACATGAACAAAGAGGACAGTCATACATAAGCAGGAAAATGCAGGTAGGGACCTTACATGCCAGGGCGAGGCATTGGACTCTATTTGTTCAGCTATGCGAACCACACAGGAGTTGGAGCTTAATTATATTGTTCTTAGCTCTTAATACCTGAACCTCTGCTGGCTTCATTCTGCAGTAGGTATCTTTGGTGCTGCTATCTTGAGCTTCCCTTTCTCTCTCTACTGCTACCTTAGTCCCAAATGTTCAGTGCTCAGTATCCTGTTTCTGCCCTCAGGTGAGAATCTGATGAATCTCAGCCTCAGGCATAAAATGCAACTCCAAATAGCAAATGCATGTTGGCAGGTACAATGGAAGGACCCTGAGACTGAATCTGGAGGAGACCTTGTTCTAATCTTAGCTCTGCTTCTCACCATTTGTGTGGTCTTGGGCCACTGACTGCTCTTCTCTAAGCATCAGTTTCCTCATCTGAAAAAAGACTGGGATAGATGGGTTGACTGACAATGACCTTTTGAGCTACAATGTTCTCTGACTAATTTTCCAACTGCCAAATTCAAGAATGTCTGCTTTGACTCAGATAAGGGGATGTTACTGCTGAAAATTAGTTCTGGAACATGAGGCTTAGGGGAGAGAGGTAGAGCAGCTACCTCCAGGTAGGTGCTCAGCAGTGTCAACTGAGTTCATGCTTGAACTCATTGCAGCCCAGGCACTGGACATGATGCTTCCAGATGATTCTAGCCCCCAGCCATCTAAGTCACTGCCAGGCAATCTAGACTTCCCTGTTGAAGTCAAATGTTGTGGAACAGAGATAAGCCCCCTACACTGAGCTGTCTGAATTCTTGACTCTCAGAATGCCTTAATATAATGAAATCATTGTTTTGTAAAACCAAGGTTGAAATGGTTTGTTATATAGATAATAGATAACTGGAAATGGGGGAGCAGGTGTCAGGGATGGTTGGAGGGTGAGGGGCCTCCCTCTGCAGGTAAGACCTCATTAGTGGGTATTCTTCCCCTCTGCCCACTGACTTCAGAAGCTGCCTCTGATGGTGGATGTTATCCCACATAGCATGGTGCTCTCAGGACAGGTTCAGAGCCTACCCTGTCCTGGAATGTTGTGCAGAAGCTCTGGGATCTTCCAAGAGGCTGAGGCACTGCTTGCTGTGGGGCAGGATCTACTTGTACCTGTCAGAATCCCAGTGTCCAAAAGGCTAAAGCCGTTGGGCATGGTGGCATACCTGCAATCCCAGTGGCTCTGGAGGCTGAGGCAGGAGGATCTTGAGTTAAAGGCAGCCTCAACAAAAGTGAGGCACTAAGTAACTCAGTGAGACCCTGTCTCTAAATAAAATAAAATAAAATAAATAGGATCAGGGATGTGGCTCAGTGGTCAAGTGCTCCCTTAGTTCAATTCCTGGTACCTTGCCCCCCAAACAAGGCTAAAGCTGGGACAGTAGGTGCACATTGGTAAAGCTCSTCTAAGTGCATCTTACTATCCCATTCTGGCACCACAGTAGCTCCCCTAGAAATTACTGAAAGGGATGTTTCTCCCATTTCACTGATGAAGGAAGAGCCACTCAAAGACCACACATAGGGAGGGCAGAATATGGCTTTGAGCTAGGCCATAGGACTCTGCATCTAACACTCCGCTCTCTGGGGGAGCCCCATTGGTGATCTAGCAATAAAAGCTCTGGGAAGGAGACTTTGTTTTCTTCTGCTAACAGGATTCTTGTCTTGAAATAAGACCACTGAACTTGGTTTAGCTTGTTTCCATTTCCTTTCTCCCATCACCTCCTCCACTATCATTTATTTTTTCCTTTGGAAAGAAGAAAGAGAGGAAGAATCCACTCCCAAGTCTTTTATTAGGAAAATAAATTTGGTGATGTGGGGGTTTCACTAGCAGTGTCAGGACTAGGGCTGCAAAGGGCAGTGAGCCGGGAACCTCCCAAACTGGGTGGGGGCAGTTGAGGAAGGGAGTGTTCCCATCACAGCTGTGAGTCGTGGGCGGTGAGGTTTCCCAGAAGAATCTGTGCGAAATCAGGGAATACTCTGGGTGCAGGGGCTGGGCAGGGGTTGGAGTGAGGCAGGGGTGCCTGGAAATGCTGTTTTCTGAGCAGTTGGCCGGACTATGTATTACACCTGTTAGTTCTTTTAAGTCAAACAGACAAGACTTGAGGGTTAGCTGACTTGCCCAAGGCCGCCCAGTAAGTAAAGGGCAAGAGTGGGAAAGGACGCTCTGATGTCACCTCTTGCTGGGTCTCTTGGGAGCCTCAGAGCCCTGAGGTGACCTCAGGGAACAGTAGGAGGGCTCTAGGCCCTCACAGCAGGGCGGCCTGGAGGGGGTTCCCAGCAGGGGGCGCCCAGAACTCGGGCCGCCCGCCCGGCGCGCCTCCAGCCGGCGCCTGGGACAGGGCCGGCCGCTCCGCCCCCTCGGCTCCTCCACCTCTGCCGGCCGGCGCTGGGCGCTGTGTTAGAAGAGTGGAGCTGGGCGCCGGGAACCCCGCCGCGCCCCGTCCCGTCGTGCTCGCTGCGGCCGTCGCTTCGCAGCCTCCAGCCGTGAGTAGTGCTGGTCTGCGGGCTCGACGGGCGGGACCCGGCAAGCAGGCAGCCCGACGGCAGCAGCGCCAGGGACTGGGTCTGACGGGGCAGAGTCCCGGGGCGCTCTTTCGTGGATCCCTGACGCCGGCCCGGGGTATGGCCGGCAGTGCCCTGGGCATTGTGTCCGGGATCAGGTCGCCAATCTGCACGCTGCTACCCCAGGCGCGCTCGGGAGCCTATCAGGCTGGGGCGGCAAGCAGAGGCCTGGCGCGGATGGGGGGCAGACTTCCATCAAGTTAAGCCCCCTCAAAAGGGAAGAGCATGCTCGGGAGGAGAGAGACCGAGGTTCTCAGTTTCTGTTGTCTTTCACATCTCTTGTGCCCGCGGCCCAGGATTTGTTTCGAGGAGGGTGCTCAGTACGTCGGGAGCCTCCACGGCCCCTGCTTCAGGAGCCCCGCTCGGGGCTGCACTAGGGTGCGCAGAGCTCAGCTGCGCGTGGAGGCAGCCAGCGGGTCTTCTGCACGCTGGGGTGGAAGAGCATTGCCAGGGCTTGGCCTGGACTCTGGACAGGCATTGTGGATATCTCACAGCGTATCTTGGTTTGGCTAATCCTCACTGTAACGCTGCAAGGTGGAAATGAGTTTTGGCTTTCAAAGGGCAGGACGAGCTCTTGTGACATGAGCTGCTTTGAAGCCATGCAGGTAGTGGTAAGTTAGGGGTGCACAAGGAATGCACACTGGAGAGGACACTATAGCTGGCTGCCTCAGGCAGATGGAGCACAGCCCCTGGCACCCTGTACTCTAAACTCCAGTGGAGGGCAGCTGGGGGCTGCTGTTCGGGTTTCTGACACTGTTTCCCAACTACCTCTAGGTGTTGACTGAGCGGTGCTGGTGTCAACTTCATGGTTACTTTAGAGCCGTTTTCCTCCCTATTCCCAAAGATGTGTTTCAGCACCTAAAGTGACCCCACTGATAATTCGGAACCTTCCTGCAGGGCTTGGATAGAGGTTTAGGAGTATGTGGATGTGGGTGGACATCTGATGTCCTGGGACAAGTTTCTGACCTGATGGCCTCCCTGAAACCTATTTGTTAGATGAAGAGGTGAACAAGCAAAGCCGGATCTTTACCAGGAGTTTTTCTCATGTCAGCTTAGGCAGGTGGCTGACCTCTTGTGCCCCAACTTCCTCATCAGGGATTGTGGTGGGTCAAAGCCAGGAGTGGCTAGAAGGGCTCTGTAATCCCCCCCTTTTTGGCAGCCTCCCCACAGTGTGAATGTGGTGATTCCTAATGTGGGTGTGTATGAGTGGACAGTCATTTGTGTTTGACCCAAACCACTGCCTGTCCCTGCCATGGTCCCATTTCTGTCACTTACTGGGTGAGGAACTCAGAGAGCTTATTTTGTAGAGTGAATTATGGACAGTGGGGGAGAGGGCTTTGTGAATGTGAGGTGATTTTTTCAGGCTTGAACATCTCCTAGGTTGTCCCCCAGGAGGTCACTGACTTCCCAGCCCCACACCACCCTTGGAGGGGCTGGATGGCTATCAACAGAAGCCTTGAGAAGTTCAGTGGGCTAGCTGTGTGACTGTTGGTAAGTCCCTTCCCCTGTCTGGACCTCAGTTTCCTCCTTTTGTCAAACAAGTGGCTTAGACCAGACAGCAGTGGTTTCAAACTTCTGTTTCACAGTGAGTTTTTACCCAGAACCCCAGCGTGTATCACAGAGTGTGAAACTGCTCTGGCCCCACTTTGTCACCTTGTTGGCTGCTGAAGCAGAGGCTAAAAATTCCTGAATACGTATGTATCTGTGAGGTCCCTTTCTGTGGGGTCCTAGGAAATCTGTTAGCACACCAGGGTTTTGCCTGGTATTGAGGTGGTGGGCAGGAATGTGAATTCCAAGGACCCTATTAGGAGAAATGTGGGCACTAAGATGAGTCTCATCCTTTGAATGTCTGGAGCTAATGACCTGTGCCTCTGGCCAAAAGTTGTAGTCATGTCTCTCCCCTCTGCCATGTGGTTTCAGCTTTTCAGGGTCAGAAAGATGCCTGTCCTAGATGGTGACAATAATTCTACCTCAGAGTTTCTCTACTTTAGTTGCATACTTCTACACTGGTCAAGTGCAGTCAATTTGGGGGAGGTATTAGGAAAGCGCTTTAAGCTGTTACCAGTTTTTTACTGTATGAGCTATGTCCTTGAGAAAGGAGGCTGGGGCACTAAATGCAAACCAACCAACATTTATGGTGTGTCTGCTGTAGACTAGCTATTACGAGGGACTTGTGGGGCTCCAAGACAATAGGCAGGAGGGGAGAAACTCACATATTGGAATTGTCCAGGGACCATTTCAAACATTTCACATCTTACTTGTCCCATAAAGTAGAAGTTAATCTAATTTTTAAAATTTTATAAAGTTTTGATTGCAATTGAAATACATATACATACACATTACCATACATATATGTCCACATTACTATACATATGGATGTATGTCCACATTACCATACTTATATGTCCACATTACTATCACCCAGCTTGAGAACCAACATTGCCAGCRCCCAGAAATCTCCCATGTCCCCTTCCTGTCACAACCTCCCACCCAGGTGGAACCATCGTTCTGACTTCTAGCACCATGGGTTAGTTTTGCCTAAATGAAACCACACACTATATAATCTTTCATATTTGACTTCTCTTATTCAACATGTTTGTTTATGAGATTCAACCTTATTGTTTCAGGTAGYAGTAGTTTGTTAATTCTCCTTGTATGATTCCATTATATGGATACACCTCAATTTATCTATCCATTCTTCTCTTGGTAATTATTTGGTTGCTTCCAATTTTTAGTTTTTCCTAATAGTGCTGCTATGAATATTTAAACATGGACCATTCTGGAAAATAGCTGTGTGCATTCCATATATGTATGTATGTATGTGTGTGTGTGTGTATGTGTATATATATATGTGTGTGTGTATGTATATATATATATATATCCCCTCAGCACCACATAAAAATAAATAAATAAAATAAAGGTATTGTGTCCATCTACATCAGCACCACATAAAAATAAATAAATAAAATAAAGGTATACCTTTATTTTATTTATTTATTTTTATGTAGTGCTGAGGATCCAACTCAGTGCTTCACACATGCTAAGAAATCAGTCTACCACTGAGCTGCAACCCCAGTCTGAGCTTCATGCATTTATTTAGTTATCTCTGTAGAAAACCCCCCACCCCCACAGTTTTCCAGAGTGGTTGTCCCTGTGTGTACTCCCCCTGACAGTGTTTGAGAGCTCTCACTGCTGCACCTACTCAGCAACAGCAGGCATTGTATAGGTCCAGTTCCCTTGGAAGTAGTTTTAAGTTCAGAAAAGTTATCCTGTGCTCAGCTAAGGACAATGCGTTTATAAGTGACAGAGTTGGGATTTGAACCCAGACCTGTGTGACTGTAATCTGTGCTGCCTCCCTCTGAGATAGAAATAGACATTGATTATGATCTGAACCAGAACTTGCAAAATTCTAACCCTAAGTATGTATGAAGAACAAACACTCTTTGGGAATTTAACGAAGGGGAGAATTTTCATTTCTTTGTGGGAGGAAAAGGATCATGGTACCTCACAGAGATGGTAGCTTTTGGGCTGGACCTTTCAGGAAAGGAGAGATTTTGCCTGGAGGGCTTTCCAGGTTGGGCTTCTGTAGAAAGGGCYCTGCTCCAGCTGAGGCCAGGCAGGAGTGAAAGTTTTGGGGGAATGGGAAAGGTCTACTTTGGCTGTGATACAGAATATATGGAAGAGGGGGCTAAGGCTGGACAGATGAATTGAGGCCAAATTGGGCAGATGAGTTGAGCCTTAGGCTGCACCTCTGCTTGCTGACATTGGCCAACCAGGATGTGGAGCCATTTTATTAAGGAACTGGGGCTTCTTCAAATTCAGCTCAGTCTCTGATGGTGAATGGAGCTGGCCYCTCACTAAATGGAAGTTCTTAGCTGTTCCTGGGACCACTTTCAGTGTTTCTGCCAACAAAAAATTTTTTGGAGTTTTCTGCTTACATCTAGCTGTATGAGATTAGTCACCCCACCCCCACGACCTGACCTAAATAGTTTGTTTGGAAGGATTTTTTCAGCAAAAAGAAGATGGTAGACAGCAATCCCACCTCCTCTAAGATTAGTCTCAGAAGATTTGCCATAATGTTGGGGGTGAGGGTAGTTCTAGCTTCTGATTCTGGTTTTGCTGGGGGGCCCCAAGCCTTTTTTCCTGAGAAAGGAACCAAATTGGTTGTCTCAATGGCTGTAGGGAACAGAAACACAAACAATCGTCTGCGATGCATCAAATAACATTAATAATCACTTATTTATACAGCAGTTTATAATCCTTATCACAATGAATTCCCAGATGGATGTGTGAAGTAGGTGATATGGATAATGTCACCTCTATTTACATTTGAGGAGACTGAGGCCCAAAGAGGGTGGCACCCTGCTGTGGGCCACAGGGCTAATAAACACCAAGCTAGTCCAGACCTGGGGCTGTTAGGGCCTGCTATTTTTTATTTTATTTTTTTAAAGARAGTGAGAGAGGAGACTGCTATTTTTGATATTCCATGTCCCAGACCTTGCTGAAGAATAGAGACCAAGCAGGGAGAGGATACATGAGGGACTGTAGACGCAGTTAGGCAGRTGATCCTGAGAGTGAAACCTGGGAGCCAGCCCAGTTCTGCCTGGGGGTCTCAGGGATGTGTTCCTTAGCAGAAGGGAAAGTGGAGGTGGCATCTAGATAGTGGCACTCTGATTTGCATGGGGCAGAGCTGGAGGAAAGAAGGTGAAATGTATATATCCCCTGAGAATTAGAACAGCTTCAGCCACTTGGTGTTGGTGAGATGTGCCCTTATGTCATGGTGTCTCCACCCTGCCTGGTGAAATTAATCATTTGAGGTACATGAAGCCTGGGTGTGGTTGGCATCTGATTGGCAGGCAGAGATGCTTCCCATGCTAGGCAAAATGGGCTCTGAGAGGCCTTTGCTAATTGACGACTTTTGAAAGRCAGGTCCACAGGTTTTATCTTTTTGATTGGCAGACTATACCCTGGGCTCTGCCCTTAGGGTGCTGTCCAGGATGGCAAGTAGCTGTCTCAGGAATAGGTGAGGATCCCAGGGGAGGATGCAAACAGTCTCTTATAGTGGAGTGATGAGTGCTCTCTATGGCTTAGAGTAGTCCTGTGGTTCTCATTAAGGTACCCTTGGCAGAAACTTAGTTCCACTTTATAGATGAGGAAACCMAGCCTCTCTGACAAGCAGTGAAGTCACAAATCTAGTTGCAGTCAAAGCTGGAATCAGCACCTCAGGCTTCTGATCTTGGTACCTGTTGTAATTTGTCACATCATTCCCGCCCATTTTCCCCTTGGGGTGATTAGTGAGAGCAGTTACCAATCTGTTCAGACTCGCAGTTGGGTGGCACAACCCCTAAGGGAGCTGAGGTCATGATAATCCCTTGCCTTTCTATAGCATTTCGTCATTTACAAAACAATTTCATGACTTGAAGTTGATTTTACAGTATTAGCCCATTTTACAGATCAGGATGCTAAATTCCTTGCAGCCTAAATGATTTACCCAAGCAAGAATGGGACTTGAACCTGGGACTTCTGACTCAAAAACTAGTGTTTCCATTACTGTACAACAGTTTTTTATTCTTTTCTCAGTGGATCTGAAGGTAATAAAAGCAAATAGTTCACCATGGATCTTTTTCTCAGAACTTCTTCAGAATAAGTAAGGAAGACTCTTTTTCCATCTCCTTAATAAATTTGAATAAATAAAACAGATGTGGTGACTCATCCCTGTAATCCCAGATACTCCCGAGGTTGAGGGGAGGATTACAAATTTGAGGCCAGCCTGGACAATTTAGGAAGACCCTGTCTCTAAATAAATAAATAAACTGAATTAAGATGACTCCTATGAACCATACATARTCAGTCCAAGTGAAAAGAAAGCTGGAGTAGGGCATTTCTTGAGGAACCAGGGCTGTGGATTACCGTTAAAATATTAGCTCCCTTGCAGCCAGTTGTTCTGAGTTCTCAGACTCCGAGGCTTGTGCTTATTTTCATGGCCCTTCTAATGTCAGGTTTCTTCCAATTTCAGGGTTGTATGGTCCAGGCCTCCATGAAGAGCCCAAACATGGAGACGTTCAAGCAGCAGAAGGTGGAGGACTTTTATGACATCGGAGAGGAGCTGGGGAGGTAAGAGATTGGTGGAGGGGATGTGATCCGAGGCCAGTTATGCTGCCTTTTGGTGAATTGTCAGTTGGTGTTGTAAGACACGGGCTTGTCAAGGAATAGTGGGAAGCTTTAATAACAAGCCTGGGGCTTATTCATCTTCATGGGTGACTCTGCAAACAGTCATGTCTCTGGAAATCAAGATTTGCTAGAAGAAGGGGCTAGAACTGTTGAGATCTGTGTTTTCAGTGCAATCTGACAGCTGTGACAAATCTTAATGATTCTTGTTTCATGTGTTACTTTCCTCACAAATCCCTCTTCAGGACCTGACCTATTGATTTTCTTCTGAGCCCCACTTGGGATTCTCCATCCTGGTTCCCAGGATTTTGGTTTTTAAGCTCAGAGCCTGAATGAGAGGAGGTGGAGTAATCTCCTRTAAATGGATTTGCATTGAGTAAACAGTCACATGAGCCTAGTCATGAAGTTTCTTGGGATCTGAATTACTTAGTGCATTGTCAGTTTGGTTCAAACCAGAATGCAGTCAGGGCTGAACTCTGAGAAGTAAAACCAATTACTCTTTGGAGAGAAATTAGGATTTTCATGAGTTTTCAGGTCTCCTATTTCTAATAACTGCTCATACTTACATGGTATTTTTCATTGTTTTTGTTTTTGCTGTATTGGGGATTGAACCCACAGTCTTGTGCATGTTAGTAGATAAGTGTTCTACCACTGAGCTACATCCCAGTAAATTTTCTAAAAATTTTATCTTGAGATAAGTTTTCACTAAATTGCCAAAATTGGCCTCAAACTTCTGATCTTCCTGTCTCAGCCTCCCGACTAATTGGGATTAYAGGCATGCACCATTGCACCTGGCAGGATGAGGTTTTTTAACAGTTACAAAAACACCAGTTAAGAAGTCTGATTCTCACAACAATGTGTGAAATAGGAATTATTTCTACTGTCATTGTCCAAATAAGTAAACTGCAGTCCAGAGTTTAAGCAAGCTGCCCAAAGTCACAGCMAGCTGCCCAAAGAGGCAGCAAGTGACTTAGCCAAGGTGCTGACCAGTCCAGTTTGCACATGAGCACCTGTCCTGCTCTCTCCTGTGAGAACGACATTGCATAGTCACGTGGGCTCACCAGAATACCCACACACCCGGCGACATAAACCCCCAGCAGTTTGGGGTATCCATTGTATTCAACAGATAAAACAAGTAGCCTTTTTCCTTTATAGAACTCTTGGATCAGGACTAGTCTTTTACTTTCCTTCATTTTTAAAGACAAACTCCAAAGCCAAAAGTGCCATTCTCAGGAAAATGGGGGCAGAGGATACAACAAGTTCAGGGTGTGTTAATCCTGGCYGGCTAGTTAGGTGGGGAGCAAGTGACTGCAGACATCTCAGAGGGGATGACTCCCCAGCACGGGATGACTGCTCCTGCCAGTGTGGGGCCTGGTGAAGGGGTGCCAAGAACACAGAGGCTTGGGGGGCTCAGYTGGTTCTGCCTCTGAATGGGAAACCAGGTTCTCTTCACCTCAGGTCCTTCTGCCCTTGGGAAGTGGCATCTTCAGCAGATCTTGACAGGCCCTGCCAACAGCAATGGATTTGGTGGCCTCACCTTRGCCATAGGGAGTACAAGGTGCCATGAGTACACAGATTAACAAAACAGATAGTCTCTAGCTCTGCTAGAGCTCCAGCCTAGAGTAGGAGCAGCTGCATACACAATGACAGAGACAGAGTTGAATTGGATTATTATTATTACTCAACTGAGAAGTCAGGTGGGGCAAGGTCCTTGAAAAAGAAAGCAGAGGCAGTTCCCTGGGGAATTCTTATTATTCCTTGGTCATCTCATCTCCCATTTACTCTGTACATTAGGGACATAAGCGGAATAGGGTGAGCTGGTGCATGTTTATAATCTTAGCTCCCCAAAAGGTTGAGAAAGGAGGATGGTAAGTTCTAGGCAAATTCAGTGACTTAGCAAGACCCTGTCTCAAAATTGAAAAGGGCTGGGGATGTAGCTCAGTGGGAGAATGTCCCTGGGTTCAATTCCCAATACTGCAAAAACAAACAGAAAGGAACCTGAGCTGTTAGAACTGGAAGAGAACTCAGGTTTTCTGGTTCTCCCCTGCAGCAGGTGTGAAGGCCCCTCACAGGCTGGGGAGTCCCTATGCCCCAGCYTGTCTAAAGTGCTAGCTGGGCTAAAGGTGGGTAAGAGGCAGCAGAGGCTTGGGGGGCTGAGGCTTCTGGAGTTTCCAGGCTTGCTAGGACCTGTGGTCTGAAGGTCAGGTGAGCTAGAAGGCCATTRGAGGTCCTCTCTTCTAGGATCCTTATTTGACAGTTGAGGAAACCAAGCATCTGAGCAGGGAAGAGTTTTGGTGGGGGACATAGAATGGGCTGGAACTAGAGCTGCCTTCAGACAACCTCTCAGATTCTAAAGGGTTAGTCCTGTCCTCTCTTCCCCACCTTTTCTTCACATGACATATTGAAGACCTACTGTGTGCCCAAGGCAGTGATAAACAAAACATATACATTGTTGCCCTCTCACAGTCTGTGATCTGCTGGTGAAAAAAAGGCACCAACCAGTGAAGACAGAAGGGTGAACCATCATACAGGGTGTTCGGGCTGTGGAGGGAGGGAACCCGATGCTCTGAGAGAATAATGGGTGGCATAGTTTAAACTGGCTGCTCAGGGAATGTTGCTCTGAACTCGCCATTTTGAGAATTGAGGAGTAAATGCCAGGCAAAGGCAGYAGCGTGGACTGGCTCTGAGGCGGGAAGAGCCTGAGGCCTGAATTGATGGCAAGAGGCCAGTGTAGCCTTGAAAAGTGAGCTGGGCAAGCAGTGCCAGAGGAGGTAGGTGGGAGCCAGGTCTAGTTGGTGAACTTCCTGCCAACTCAGAGTAGTACAGAGGTTTGGTGTTCGGGTTCCCTTCATAGCTGTGCAACCTTAAGACAACTTACTCAACCTCTGTTTTCTTCTCTGTAAAACAGGGAAAAATAACAGTCCCCACCTCATGTCTGTGGAATGGTATAAGATGTTGAGTTGAAGATGTTGAATCTAAGGTGTTGGGCCTAGCAATGGACTGATTCCAAATAAGTTTGGGACATCAAGGCCCCATCTCCCCGCCCTGCAGCCCTCAGGAGGAAGGTGTGGGACTATCAGGAAGCCCCACCTGGGGGTTAACCTCATTTCTGGAGGATGGTATGTAAACATACTTCCTCATTTTTTTTGGGGGGGGGTATTGCAAATGAAACCCAGGGGCGCTTTACCACTGAGTTAYATCCCCAGCCCTTTTAATTTTTATTTTGAGACAGAGTCTCACTAAGTTGCTGAGGCTGGCTTCAAACATGTGATCCTTCTGCCTCTGAGCTACTGGATGACAGGCATGTGCCACTACACCTGGCACCTGCCTCCTCTTCTATCAGTGAGCACCCTGCCCTAGACTCAAGGTTGTCTCATTGACTTTAGATCTTCGTAAGTTCTCATTATGCAAAAGTGTGAATGAATGAAAGCYTGTTACCTGTCATACTGGATGAAGCTCACAAACAATCTTGAGCAAGGGAGTTAGACTCAAGAGTCCATACTGTATAATTCCATCCATTTCAAGTTCAAACCGGGTGAAATGAATCTATGCTGTTAGAATTCAGATAGGCAGATATCCTCAGGGGACAAGGGACTCAGAGGGCCTGGGGAGGATTTCTGAGATATTGTTCAGATATTGTTTAGATATTGTTCTCTTTCTCCATCTGTACTTGTTTCACAGTGGTGTTCATTTCATGTGTAAGTATCAAGATGTACATGTATATTTTCCAGTGTGTATGTCAATAGACTACTAATGAAGAACCTTCAGCTGCGTTTCCTGTCATCGTCTGTCCCCAAATCACATGTTTTTGATTCTTTTAGAGGCCTTTCCTTCTTTATCCTAGGAGGAAGAGACCCTCTGTAAACTTTGTGTTGGGACAGTGTGCCCTGGCTGGACCATCCTATGCTCAGCTGGGGTCCTGCTTGCCTTCACACTTCGCCTGGTTTCTGGCTCCCCACACTGCCTGCAGATGCTTGGCTGTGCTCACACTTTGGCTGAAGGTTGTCTTCTCTTTCCAGGAGTATTTGGAGAAATGCTGGCCTGCAGAACTTGGCCTCTCCCAGCCTTGGCATCCACCAGGAGGGCGGAGCAGGGGAATATTAAAACAGGACTCTTACAGAGAAGCCCGTTCAGCCCCTCATTATATAGATGAGGTCAAGACCAGTGGCTTGTCTAAGGTCACACAGTGAAACTGTGATGGAACCAAGGTGGGGCCTGGTGATCTGACTCCTAGCTTAGGGTTCTAACCCTCATACCAGAAGGACTCACAAAACACAAAATCATTTTTTCTTTTAATGTCAATGCTTCTGGAGAGTGGGCAAGAGWATGAAGCAGGGTGATCTTCTCTGTTTGACCTTGAGGGTAAAGATATGAGGGCCAGAAGTAGGAGGTGGAGCATTTGGGAAGGAACAATGTTTCCCAGTGACTGTTTCTCGGACCTCCACCTACACATCTACTGCATGCCTGAGGATATAAAGTAAATTAATTTAAGTATCATGCAACAATCAGAGATTCCTTGTTTCCTATTCTTCAATTACTTTCCTTCAGTTAATTTTTTAATTTATATTATTATATTAATGTAAAATCATTAAATGTTACCATTAAACTGGTTCTCAACAAAAATTTAATTCAAATCCCCCATTTTATAGACAGGGAAAGTGAGGACCAGAGGGGAGGTGACTTGTCTAAAGTCACAGAGCAAGTGGTCTAGGACATAGAACTCAAAGGCAGAACCTTCTCAACTGTAATGTGCTGGTTTAAACATATAAACAGACAAAAGCTAAAACTTAGCATCAGGCCTGGTGGTGCACTCCTATAGTTCCAGCTCTGAAGGCTGAGGCTAGAGGATGTCTAGAGTCCTAGAGTTTAGGGCCAGTTTTAGAAATGTAACAAGACCCCATCTCTCTAAAACAAGGAGACAATTTAAGATAATAAAAGATCAGCAG